CCGCTGTCGCTGTCGGAGCTGGGCGCGCTGTGCAGCGACAGGCCGCCGGGCGAGTGCAGGTGGCGGCCCTGGCTCTTCAGCAGCTTCTTCTCGTGCTTGCGCTTCTTCTTCTCCATCTTCTCCAGCTCCTTGCGCGCGATCTCCTCCGGGTCCATGGGCTCGCCGCTGCACGTGGTTGGGTGCGAGTTGTGCGCCGGCCGCCCCGGGCCCTTCTTCGTGTTCTCCTTCTTCCTCCACTTGGCCCGGCGGTTTTGGAACCAGACCTAGAGCAGCCGGATAAGGGAGAGGAAGCCACAATCAGGCGGCGGGCTGGCCGCCGGGGCAGAAGACCTCCCCGCTCCCCCTAGACCGGCCTGCACAACCTCCACTCGGCCGGGGGCGGGAGTCAGGCCGCGCGGCCGGGCGGGCCTGGAGCTGGGCTTTGCCACTGGAGCTGCAGGTTCCAGCGAGCGCCTTTTCTACCCGGAAGGCGCGTAGACAGGGCCTCCCGGCCAGCTTCCCTCTCTGGCTTCTCACCTCGGGGACCTGGGAGCCGCCCCTTCCTTGGGGGGCCGGTCTGGCCCCGGACAGAGGGCGTCGGGTTCCTGGTCCGGAGGCAGAGAGTAAGGACCCTGCTCGCCCTTCCTGGCCGCTCACGGCTCGTGTTCTAAGCAGCCCGCCCGGCCTGGCGCTGACCATCCTGCCGTTGGACTGCTGGGCCACAGCCGCCCTCCACGCCTGTCTTCGGCCCCTTGGAGACTGTGTCAAAGCCCAGATTTCGCGGGGGGCGTGAGGGGGGGGCGGGGAGGCGGATTCCCTTGAAGGGAAGTCTGGGTGCTTCTTCGTCCGGAAGGGCCTGGGGAGGCGTACTTGGGTGGGCCTCTGCAGCCTCCCTCCCAGGACACAGCTAACAGCCTTCTTTCTGCAAGCCCTGGACCAGGGCACCAACGGAGCCTTCCCATACCAGTCGTGCTTGGCCTGGGCCACCGGCCAAGGCCGGTGGGGAGGCAAGAGGCGACCACTAGGCCGGGAGGAGAGGCTGGGCCCATCTCGTCTCTTCCACTCTGTCTGCAGTCCTTGTCCTGGGGAGCCACACAGGACATCCGGGGACAGCAGCGCTACACCTTCACTCAACCGCCAGCCACCAAACACACACAGTCATATCCGTCTGAGCCCCGCGGAATCTCAGGCAGTGCTGCCCTCCCCAAGAGAGCGCGTTAATACAGATTCTTTGTCGCGGATGTACAGAGACTTGCACAGTAGCAGGCCCAGCCTGGTCGCAGGGAGCCTTGTCCATGGGGAGGTCTCCAGCATGAAGCCGAATCCCCCCAAGGCTGTAACCGCCTTTTCCTTCTTTAAACTTTTTCTTTTTCTTTTTTTTTCTTTTTTTTTTTTTTTTGGTGCGAATTCTGGACTGCCTTGCCAGTAAGAATTAGTCATTATCGTATTAGGGGAGACATGAAGGGGTCTTGACTTCACTTAAGACACTTAGAACAAATTGGATAAAAGGATTTCCAAGCAGAAGAGGTCACGAGAGGAGGTCCAAGCACAGGACAAACACACCTTTTTAGACAAAGCTATTGGTGATAAACAGGCATTTTGCCAGCGTCTGCCTCAACGCCTAGCACCCACAGCCGCACATCGCACCCCAGACCTGGACCCCACACCGCACCCACCCCAGAAAAAGAGGATTTCTTTGCTCCAGGGAAACATTCAATTATGCACAAATCATCTTGGAATTTTTAATCCACCAAGCTGACACTGTATTTTTTAAAAGAATACCATCAGCCATCTCCAAATGATAGCAAATTTACGGGAACACAGTCATAAGAAAAAGATGAGACCGGGGTATTATTAAAAATTCAGACACCTTGTTTCTCCCACTTTCTCAATGTGTTAACTGTTTAGGCTTCTGCCTCTCCTTCCTCAGCTGTCCCCTTCTGCAAAGCGATGAATAAATACATGTTTCCATCTGAGTATTTTGCAGGCGCAAGGTAAACAGACTCGTTTGCTCCAGGCTGGGTGACAGAGCCTCGCGCGGGAGCTTGAGGCGGTGCGTGGGAAGGGGGTCCCCTTCCCTCTCTCCTCCAGGTCGGAGCCTTGCCCCTGCCCGGAGACCTCACTTGGCCCGGCCGCCGCCAACCCACCACGCCGCTTCCCGGTTCGGACGCAGCCGCCATTCCGGAGACTTAGGTGTTACCGCCAGCCCTTCTCAAGTCACCCAGGCTTTTGGGGGGCGGTTAACCCACCCTGCTGTCCGTGAGGGGCCGAGCCCCTAAACCCCAACTCCTCCACTCTTCCCCAGCAGGCGAGGGCAAAGCGGGCCCGCGGCAAGGGGAAGATACCTCGCCACCTGGAACAAAGGCGTCCCGGCGCGCCCCGAGCCCGGGGTCCGGATGGCGAATCCGGGAGCGACGCCGGGTCTTTACCTGAACTCGGGACTCCACCAGGTCTAGGCGCAGCGCCAGCGCCTCGCGCATGAACACGTCGGGATAGTGGCTCTCGTTGAACGCCTTCTCCAGCTCCTCTAGCTGCCAGCCGGTGAAGTTGGTGCGGGTGCGCCGCCGCTTGCAGCCCGGGCTCTCCTTGTCCGGGTCCCCCGAGTCTGCGGGCAGGCACAGGACGCCG